TCAGCATCATCATCATCATCATCCTCATCATCATCATCGGCATCATCATCAAAATCATCATTATCGTCAGCAGTTGCATCATCATCAGCATCAGCATCAGCATCACCATAACCATCAGCATCAGCATCAGCAGCATCATCAGAATCAGCATCACAATCCTCATCATCATCACCACCACCACCATCATCGTCACCATCGTCTTCATCATCATCAGCACGTTCATCATCATCCTCAGCATCATCATCATAATCTTCATCATCATCCTCATCAGCATCCGTATCATCATCATCGTCATCATCATCATCAACATCATCATCAGCATCATCGTCATCCTCAGCGTCGCCGTCGTCATCATCACCATCATCAGCATCACCATCATCCTCATCCTCGTCGTCGTCATCATCAGAATCGGAATCATCACCATCATCGCCGTCATCAGGACATTTACCATCAACATCACCACCACGAGCAACATCGTCATCATCAGTAACATCACCACCACCATCATCATCACCATCAGCAGCATCAACATCATCACCGTCATCATCATCATCACCACCATCATCAGCATCATCATAATCACCGCAACCACCATACCATTATCATTTCCATTATCATCATTATCCTCATCAGCATCAGCATAATCATCATCGTCATCATCATCAGCATCATCATCATTAGCATCAGCATCGTCATCCTCAGCGTCGTCGTCATCATCACCATCATCATCATCATACTCATCCTCGTCGTCATCATCATCATCATAATCAGAATCATCACCATAATCTTCATCATCAGCATCATTAACAGCATCATGATCATCACACTCATCATCATCGTCGTCATCATCATCAGCACCATCATCAGCAGTATCTTCATCATCGTCCTCATCCTTCGTTCCATCCTCATCCTCATCTTAGTCCTCATGATGAAATTCTCGTCCTCGTTCTCATCCTCATCATCGTCATCGTCGTCGCCGTCGCCGTCGCCGTCGCCGCCGCCGTCATCGTCGTCGACCGCCACCGCCGTCGCCGTCGTCGTCGCCGTCGCCGTCGTCGCCGTCGCTGTCGCCGTCGCCGTCGCCGTCGCCATCGTCGTCGTCGTCGTCACTGCCGTCGTCGTCGTCCGCGTCGTCGTCGTCGGTGTTGTCGTCATCGTCGCCCTCCTCATCATCGTCGTCATGATGACCATCCCTCCAACCCTGCTGAAACTTACGATTGGGGCTTGCCTTACTCTGGCTGCTGTAATCATGTGGTGCGCGGCAGGACGGGAGGCCGGTGGGGGTTACATGCGGTGGGCGGCCGCCGATCAAACCCGAGAACCACCAAAAAAACATGATCCGAACGACAGACCCAACGATATGCAGTTGTGACTACCGCGTGGTGGCACCGCTTTCGGTGGAGCTACCTATGAGGCCACGAAACGCGTGAGGAGTGTGCCGAAATCGGCGGGGAACCGCATGCGACCCCTGCCACTCAGGCACACGGTGGAGCTCCCCATGAGGCCGCGAAACGTGTGAGGGGTGTGCCGACATGGGCGGGGAACCGCATGTGAACTTTGCCACTTGGGCCATCGGCGGAGCCAAGAAACGTGTGAAGGGTGTGCAGACATGCGTGGGAGACCGAACGCGAACTTTGCCACTGGAGCCTTCGTTGGAGCTCCCTATGGGGCCCCGAAACGTGTGAGGTGTGTGCCGAAATGGGCGGGAAACCACATGCGAACTTTGCCACTGGGGCCTTCGGTGGCGCTCCAGATGGGGCCACGAAACATGTGAGGGGTGTGCCGAAATGGGCGGGAAAACACATGCGAAATTTGCCACTGGGGCCTTCGGTGGAGCTCCCTATGGGGCCACGAAACACGTGAGGAATGTGCCGAGATGGACGGGGAACCGCATGCGAACTTTGCCTCTGGGGCCTTCGGTGGAACTCTCTGCGGGGCCACGACACATGTGAGGGGTGTGCCGAAATGTGCGGGGAACCGCATGCGAACTTTGCTTCTGGGGCCTTCGGTGGCGCTCCATATGTCATATGGGGCCACGAAACATGTGAGGTGTGTGCCGAAATGGGCGGGGAACCGCATGCGAACTTCGCCACTGGGCCCTTCGGTGGAGCTCCCTATGGGGCCACGAAACACGTGAGGAGTGTGCCGAAATGGGCGGGGAACCGCATGCGAACTTTGCCTCTGGGGCCTTCGGTGGAACTCTCTACGGGGCCACGACACATGTAAGGGGTGTGCCGAAATGTGCGGGGAACCGCATGCGAACTTTGCTACTGGGGCCTTCGAGGCAGAGGCAGGGATGGGAGGAGGGAGCAGGGAGAGGAGGAAGAAGGAGGAACGCGGGCGCTGTCTCTTCAAAACGAGGATCCAACACCACAGGATAGTTGGGAATAAACTCGCTTGCCATGTAAAAGCCGCATGGCTTGCAAAGGATAGAAAGATTCTTCCCACGAGAAACCACAAGGGTCTCGTATGATAACAGAAAGGCATCCGTATGAAAGAA